TGATTGTAGCTCTGAGAGTTTTAAACTTGTGGCGGAGATAGTCACTGGGAGATTTTTTCAATCTTTGTCTTAAGGAATTCTATTTGATGTTGTGCAAAATTTCACCAGTAAGCCACGGCACATATTTTCGACTTCGAAGTCTTTTGGTTGGCATATGATTAGCAACTATTGTAAGGAAAGTACTTTTCCAGATCAGCCAGTCGTGGTCAATATCGCCTTCCACTGATATTAGATTGGACAGATTCTCGGATTCGAGTGACGATCTTAAAACATCGAAATTGCCACGGTGGTAGTCGTATACTATTCTATTCATATTCACTGGCGATTTTGGAGATATAAGGACATCAAAGAGAATTATAAGCCAATTGTGATCAGTGAAAACTTCTGCTTCAGTAGGAGATAAAACTTCATGAATATTTACAAGGTTCGGAACATTGGTAAGCACAAGGTCCAGCACGTTGTTGCGTCTAGTTGGTTTGTTGTTAAGTTGAGATAAGAAATAGTCATTCATTAATTCCAAGAATGAAATTTCATTGGCTCCTAAAAATGAAATTTCATTGGCTCCTTAAAGTCACCAACAAGGATATATTTTATTCATAGCAGCTGCAAACATCATTTAGATAGTGGTTAAAATTGTTGAGTCAATTTTGATCAGCGTTAGGTGGACGGTAGCAAGAGCAAATCAAGAGTCGACTATTTCAGGATGTAGTTATTTCAGCAGAGATAATTTCTAGATATTGATTTTGATGAACTTCTCGCACCGACTTAAATGAATCAGTTTTAATTGCAAGTAATACTCCACCGCCTTGAGTTTCGCGATCTTTCGAAGTATAGTGTAATCGGAGTTCAGGATTTGTGAATTATCAATGTTTCCATTGAGCCAAGTTTTATTGACACAGACAATATCAATTTGTTCAGAATAAACTAAGTCTTGAAAGCAGTTTAGCTTACAAACAGTTTTAGATTCTGTTAGTTTATGGGTGCTCATCAAACTACGGGCATTCATCGCGAGTGAAACCAGATATGTTAATCTGTGTGATAGTAGGCGCAGCGACCACGTCCAACAAGAATACAAAAATTAGTCATCAAATATTGCACCCAATATTGTAAATTCAAAAGTTTAAACGGTCAAAATAATAAAAGTACGATGAATCACGAACAGTACATCCAAATAACACAAAAATTACACACGAGAACAGGAACACAATTTACAGTTTACTTAGAAAGTTACAGGTGAATAGAACAAACGATGTCAAAGATATTGAATATATGAACCAAAATATCGGGTTGTAGTGTGAGCACCACAGCAATATCATACAAATCGCCAAAAGATAATACCAACTAATTCCTTTCGACTAAATTTCACCAACTCTAAAACACCATGAATAAATGAACCAGATCTTTTATTAGCAATAAATTAATTAGTAGATCACCAGTTCGGTCCGATATTTCTCTGTACATACCGAGCAAGCCAGGTTAATAAAAAGTTTATTATATGGCATTTAGAGGCATTTGTACTTGAAACAAACAAACAAGACATGCATGATTTGAAATGCATATTAGTAGCGTGGTACCCATCTACATCTATTTGCTAATCTGTAAGTAATTGCTTGGACCATATTTAAAATGAATGAAGTTAGGACACACTTCTATAACTCATTATTTATGTTTTTGTCTTTATTTATGCAAAACTGGTCGGTTCATCGTCACGTGCACGGCTGATAGCAATATGCTTTCACCCAATGGCTAATGATCACTTAATTGAAAACCTTGCAATTGCAGGCTGACATGCCGAAAAAGAAACAATGCGGACGTGATTCGATTTCCCGTCCATGTTTTGCATAAACCAAGACAAAAACCTGGATCATTATTTATGCTTGAAGTTTCGTCCTTTGGCTTTTATTCCTATATTAACATTAATGTGAAGGAATTTTTTCCTGTTTACTCATGCGAAAGGTTCTGGTACTTTTGTGTAGCTCACATAATAATTATAGTGGTGGCACTATTTTAAATACTATTACTGTCTATATAGATGAAGGGGCTTTGGAGATCATCGATGCGACGGAGTCGGATTCCCAATTTGATGGCGATGAAATTTTCGAACTTCACTGTTGTTTTTACTCCCACCCATACTGTCCAACAATTACCTGGTATAAAGACGGCGTGGAGATTAAAGATGATCACCTTACAATACGCAAAATAAGACAGGGACTGACACTCAAAGTTTTTGCCAAATTAGATGCTGGAGGAAATTACACATGTAATGCGACCACGCCTTATGGGGAAGTCAAAAGCAACACTATCAGAAATGTCCAAGTTATCAGTAAGTTTGATATGTATTCATTGTACATCACAACATTTTGCTGGCAAAGGCGCCTCCAAGTCCGAAGGCCTTGCGCAGGTGGGGGTGGTAATCTGGGATGAACAAGTCCACGCACAAAATAAACTAGTTAGTGGTATTTTGGAGACCTAATGAACAAATATTTGGTGTATACGTATACGTGTTACTGCTTGTCTTAGTACGGCATAAAACAAAACGGCGAATATTTTATTAGTGGATTGAGTGATAATATATTCTTAGATTAAATTTATCCAACACAGACGGATGAAAACACCTTCGACAGGACAAAGTTTTTAGGAAGAGTCACTTTTTTAAAATAAGAAAGGCTAAAATGATCGAGAAAGCGCGAAAAAGAACTACAAAAATGCGGCGAGGAATTTGGATATAGCCTAAAACTAATGCTGCACCGAAATATCGCCTAAAACTAATGTTGCACCGAAAAAAATGCTGGTGTCCATGAATACACTATCATGCGCTATGATTATAAAATAAGTACGCTATAAAATACATGAAATGACCATTTTATTACAATAAAGATAGTCTATTACATATTACATATTACAGAACTATACAGGCTATTGAAAAATAGTATAGCTTCCATAGCAATTAAAACCTTAAACCACATGATAACAACAAAGTTTTTTAAAGCAGACAACAGTACCTACTGTTTTAATTTTGTCACATATGTAATAAAATATATTCATCTGAGTGATAGTTCAAAGATATTGCGATACAGTTCAATGGTGTTTCAGTGATAATTTCGAAACAATTTCTGAATTTTGATTGCAGCCAAAAAATGAAATATAGTGCATATTTCATTGACTATCAATACAGTAAAATACAGCCATTTCTCGCAGAAATTAATACGAAAACCCCAAGTGACAAAAATGGCTGGCGTTTTTAGTTGATTTTCTATTAAAATTATTCATATTAAAAATAAGTATTTCGTATGTGACCTATGCACACACATGACTGCATAATTTTTTCATGTATATTATCAGTTAACTAGAAAATACATGCATGGAGAAACCCTCGCCTTGCTGACAAAACCATTATATTTACCAAACATGAAGTATTTAAAGTATAGCTGTCATGGTAACACGATAATTTCATTAAGAATATTTTTTAAAATTGAAAAATTTCCTAAAATATCACTTTTAATTACAAAATTATCAATCTCCAAACAAATATGTTAGGTATGTTATTATACGTAATATTAGCTTAAATTTAATGTAAAATTCAACCACAAACTCTTCACAAAACGTTTTAAAATGTTCTTAAAACTAAACTGCCTTTTACTCGATAAACTTTGAGTTTGAAATAAAATGATTTCAAATTCTCCCATGCAAATAACTTGGCTCTCCTCTTTATTAAAATAATTTAATATAATAAAAAAGGATAAAGGGTACCGGTATCAATAAATTTACAGCAAACAATACATCAATATTTAAAACATACTTATCTTCATTAACGTCGGTGTCCTTGCCCCCTTCTTTTTAGCAAGCCTTTCGGCCTTTTTTCAAAAAAAGCTTTTGAAATTTATAAAATCTTGCAAAAATGAAATATATTTGCAAGAAATGTCAAATGTTTGTTATTTCGCTGTCGTCATGCTGTCGTTATAATCCAAATTTTAAATTTGACCAATCAGTGCTATTCGTGATAGTCCGCCATACTTTTGAGATCAGTGAGGATGACCACCCATGAACGGTGAACCATAGCCATGCGCCCGCGATTATTAATGAACTTGCGAAACAAAATGCAAAGCGCAATCAATTACCCGTAAAACCAATTCAATCCCTACCATCTATTTTATGAATGACGCTCCACTAGCATCAACGTGATCTTGGTGTCTGGATATCTTCCGATTTGACATTGAACAAGCATGTTAACGAACAGTGTAGGTAAGCAAATAAAATTCTTAGCTATACAGCAGACGAAACACACGAACAATTAATAACACTAAAACAAGAAGAACCATTTACTTGTCACTGGTACGATCACATTTTGGTTACGCGATTGTGACGATTTCTATCGCCGACGTCTGGACACCTCAATCTATTGAACTTCTGCTCAAACTAGAAAAACCTCAAAGACGTGCAACAAAATATATTCTTAATCTTCCATTTATCAGTTCAGTAAATTACAAATCCAGATTGCAAACTCTCCATCTACTGCCCATACTTTGCCGATATGAATACCTTGATGTGATTCATTTCTTTAAAGTAATTCATGGCATTACCAGCTCGTCCTTTGCCTTGAACGCCAAGACAACAAGACATATATAGCCTACAAGATCGTCCACCAACACGAAAGGTGTAAAGTACGAAGTCCCGCGGTGCAAAACAACAACCTACCAAAGATCATTTTGGATAAGAACTATCAGAACATGGAACAAATTGACGGACATACTTGACTTGAGTATGGAGTACTTCAACATGTTCAAGTCTGTAATGTAAGAGTACTACCATACTGCATTAAAGAACATATACGATTGTGGTGATGTGCACGAACTTTTAAAACAATTTGCCTGAGATGCAATAGAGCAGGGACTTTAACGAACTCGATGAACTGTTGCATGTTTTTAGTCTCCATGGTTTAATTGTTATTTGTGTTATTGATATTTGTCTCTTAACATTTTGGGCCCTCAGTAATTGGTTTCAGGCTGTTGCGGATACCCAACTATCAACTCAGTTAGTCAGTTTATGTCATTGTATTATGTATTATATGTATGCGTGTGTATGTGTGTGTATGTTTATGGAATCTGATGGAATAGCAATTAAATTAAATTAAATTAACTTTAGACTTCGCTAATGCGCTCCTTTCCCCGGATGTAAACAGCCAGGCGGAATTAGCACCCTCGCCCCGGGCTTACGCCCGGAACGGTACTCTGCGTCGTTGACTCGGGAATAAGTAATAGTATGGTTTCTCGTACAATTTGGAAAAACATACACTACTTTAGTACTTGTGAGGTTTTCAAAGACACGAGTGAGTTTTTCGAATTTGTTTTTTTTTAAACAAATAAGTTTTTTCGTGAGTTTTTAAAATTGCACGAGTACATTTTGATCAATAATTTTTCCGTTGCAACTTGCAAACCTTCGCAATACAGTTGAATGAACATCTGAAAGAAAAAGACAGGTTCATAAAATTAGGTTGTCGACATCCCATCTTGTCTAACTAGAAATCTTAATTCTTTAAACATTTTTTGCCTTAATTAAATTTAATACAAATGTAGTTTGAAGTACAATTTAAAACATGAGCAGCAGTGTTTTATCAGATATAAAGATACGAAGTGAAGCCGAGTATATATATAGGTCTGATAAAATACGCGATGCGAATGTTTTAAATTGCTTCAAAAACTATAAAAAATACGTTGTGTAAGTCGAGAAAATGAAAGTTAACGTTAACGTTTTTGTAAGTCAAGGGCAATATCTATCACATATGCATCCTACTTTTTTACTTTACTTTGTATAACACCAGACAATTTTACTCGTCCAGGGGAGCGAAAGTGCTGCCACTGAATGGATAAGACTATGTTAAATTGGTGAACAAGCAACGTTTGCAGTTAAGCCCAGCGCACACTGTCTAGTGCAAGTTGCACGCACACTTGTCATTTGTTGCCAATTACGTGCGACAGAAATCCTAGTGTGCGGAGAAAATATTCAGGATTTTTGTCACTCGTGTCATGAACAACAAATATCAGTCAAACATGTTTGATATTTTCTGTAATTCGTGACAAAAATGCCCAGTGTGCGGCAAACAGCTCATCGCACTACTTTTCGCAGCAAAGAAGTGCATGCACATGCGTGATATTCCCCAAACCCGACATGGCGGATAGTGAACATACTAGTGAGCTGGACGTCAACGAAGCAATTTTGGAGGATAAATTGGTAGATATCTGGCCTAATGGACTTTTTGTCTTCTCAAAATCCATCGTTTTGCCCTTACCTGGCGCGATTAGCCGCATTCGAAACATATAAACAAAGGAGTGAGAAAATAACACTTTGTTCTACTCCCTCCGTGCCATTCGATTTAAACTTTTTTACCCAAAAATGACAAATTCTGATAAAGCGTCCTTTCTTCTTTAATTAATTTCCTGGGGGGATTTTTAAAATTCGATCTAGAGCGCGAAATATTTATGTTTGTACTTAGGAAATTAATTAAAGAAGAAAGGACGCTTTATCAGAATTTGTCATTTTTGGGTAAAAAAGTTTAAATCGAATGGCACGGAGGGAGTAGAACAAGGTGTTATTTTCTCACTCCTTTGTTTATATGTTTCGAATGCGGCTAATCGCGCCAGGTATGGGCAAAACGATGGATTTTGAGAAGACAAAGAGTCCATTAGGCCAGATATCTACCAATTTATCCTCCAAAATTGCTTCGTTGACGTCCAGCTCACTAGTATGTTCACTATCCGCCATGTCGGGTTTGGGGAATATCACGCATGTGCATGCACTTCTTTGCTACGAAAAGTAGTGCGATGAGCTGTTTGCCGCACACTAGGCACTTTTGTCACGAATTACAGAAAATATCAAACATGTTTGACTGATATTTGTTGTTTCGACGCGCGTAAAATTGCCATACTCTCTGGACTATACCTTTTAATGAAATACTCTGTCTCTGTGTTCTTTACAAATTCAAAAAATAGCAGTATAGACATTATACTATTATGAAGTACTAAATGTAATCTTAAAGTTCTCAATTATCTGTAAATACAAAAAAAGAACGATTCTAATACTGTATATAGCTATTCAAATTTAATATCCGAACTTCAAAAACTCATCAATAATTATGAGGAAAACACAAAGAAAAATCATAAGCGTTGTCGTATCTTTATATGTGATAGAGATTTCCCTTGATTTACATAAACTTTAACTTTGATTTTCTCGACTTACACAACGTATGTTTTGAAAATTACTTCGCCAATGAACTTACCAGATCGATCGTTTTTGAAGCAATTTGAAACATTCGCAGTGCGTGTTTTATCAGACCTCTGCTTCGCCTCGTATATCTGATAAAACACTGCTGTTCATGTTTT